TGGTGGATTTTCCAGGGCTGAAGAAACCAAGCTCAAACACTTCTCCATTAGAGACTAGAACTTCACCATCTCTGATGGCTTGATCAGTTGTTATGCTATCTATCGAATTACAGCATCGGATAAGAAGAATGAATTGAACAAGTGCTGTAACGATTAAACCTTTCGTAAAATTCATGAACATATTTTGTAATGAAATGCGACTGAGCCCCAGGGAAGAAGTATGGTCCATTAAGAAACTTCAACAACTATCATGTGGTCAGAATTTGCTAACTCTAAGATCTTTCAATAATTTGTCGAATCTTCTACTCTCGGATTGACTGACTATATAAGAAGACTAGGAAGTCCACTATGGCAGCTTTACACTCATTCTTCTTTTTTTTGGCTGTTTGACATTTATATTATTTTCTAGCTCAATATTGCTACCAAATATCACAAGCAATACTTTGTTATACAAATCAGCTTTGCACATGTCTTCATGGAATCATGAGTCAACCAAACGGTGTTGTAGTAACTCCGGAGTCTCTAAGGCATTCTCACACTGCAATGGTTTTAAAAAAAATTCAATGTGATTGACAGAGTCTATATTATTATTGCAGGAAAGAGAAGTCCACTATGCCAGCTTTACAATATTGTCAACGTTCATGTTGACAGTTCTTAAATACTCTGTTGCAAGACAGGGGAGCTGGGGTGAACTTTTGTATACAAATCAAAATGTCAATTTGTTCCTCAGATTTGCGCGTCTTCTTCACGAGTCAAACCAATATGCAATTTTTATTATTATTATCATTATTTTCACTTCAAATCAATATAAATTTCGACCTTAGAACAAGTCTTCAATATGTTTTGTATTAAAACTGGATAACCACAGGGAAAGCAACATATTCTACTAAACAATTACAACCAAGACTTTTGTTGGAACAATTACAAAATATTGTCTTAAGTTTGATAACAAATGGCAATACAGAAGACTTAACTGTAAGACAAGAAAAAAATGAATATGATGTAGAACATATGTGTCATTAGCGTGCTTTGAGAACCGTTATTGTTACATCATTTAGAGAAGGAGTTGATCCTTTTGATGCTGCTGAGTTTAGTTTGCTGGATGATTGTAATATAAATGCAGGTTTCTTGGGATAGGGAAGAGTTGTTTCATTACCCAACATGAAAATAACTTCCAACATGGTTGGCCTCTCTGATGCACTTTCTTGCACGCAAAGTAGCCCAATCTGGATGCATCTTGAAACCTCATGAGCAGGATATGACTCCCCCAAGGATGGATCAACCATACCTAATGCCTGCTCCTCTGTCCACATATCCCAAATCTGATGCAATTCAGAAGATCAGTTTAGCGTAAAGATTTGAAAGTAAAAATTTGTAAGTCATTGCATATGTATTTTAGAAATAGTTTGAATTGCCTACTTGTCCAATCAAATTTGGGGAGGGATCATAACTAGTGTTCCTTTTGCCACTAATGATCTCTAGCAGTAAAACACCGAAGCTGAAAACATCAGATTTTTCTGAATACCGCCCTTCCATTGCATATTCTGGTGACATGTAGCCACTGCATTCAGGGAAAATTGAGATAAACTAGTGAGCTAGTTCAGTGTTTCATAATAATCTCCATATGCTTCTAAGTATATGTACTCTGAAATACTTACTATGTTCCAACGACTCTGTTTGTATTTGCTTGGATTTGGTCTTCCCCAAACATTTTAGCCATTCCAAAATCTGAGATCTTTGGGTTCATAGTAGAATCCAAGAGGACATTGCTAGCTTTTAAATCCCTGTGGATAATTTTTAGTCTTGAGTCTTGATGTAGATATAAGACCCCTCGAGCTATTCCCAATATAATCTCAAAACGCTTTTTCCAGTCCAACAATGAGCTTCTGCTTTTATCTGGTCCACAACATGAAACATCCAATCTCAGCATGCAGCTTGGGGAAAGCAAACGCTAACATTTACAAGTTCTGCTGTAACTGATTCTTCATATATGCTTTAGTTCATTTAATCTATGAAAAGACGTACCAAATATGAAGAAGTCCAAGCTTTTGTTCGCCAAACATTCATATATCAATATCTTTTCTTCGGCATCAATGCAGCAACCAAAGATCCTCACCAGGTTCCTGTGCTGAAGTTTTGCTATCAACATAACCTCATTCTTAAATTGTTCTAAACCTTGCCCTGAATTCTTTGATAGTCTTTTCACAGCCACCTCTTGTCCATTAGCTAAAAGTCCCTGAAATTGCCATTCTGACTTTAGTTTAGTGATTCAAATTTGAAAACAGTATTGGAAATGTCATGAGCAATTGTGAGATACGTTTAATTAGGAAATTATCATGCTTCACATACCTTGTAGACTGGGCCAAATCCACCTTCGCCGAGCTTGTTAGCAGTAGAGAAATTGTTTGTAGCAGCAACTATGCTCTCTAGGTCAAAAATTGTCAGGTCTTGATGTGTTCTTCTACTATCTTAATTCTTCATTTCCCTTGGATATTCTTCAAAACATAATTAAATTACTTTAATTTTGTTGCCTAGAAACTGAACTATACAACTGAAAGGAAAAATGCTTACTATATAAGGATTAGGGTTAAGTCTCGGCCTTTTTTAATTCATCTGTGTATTCTTTGCAGCATTTATTCGACACCAAATTCCATTATGTTGGCAGTGAAATGATACGTGTCAGATGACTCACATGATGTTATAAGAAAAAGAGAAGGAAGTTTGCGTACCTTTTCTCTTCCTCTTTGCAAACCAACATCCAAAGCAAATGAAGAAGAATACCATAGCAATAGACACTACCAAAATCGGCACCATCCCTTTTTTGGCAAGAAACCCCTTGGACTTCTTTGTGTATTCAGCTAATGTGGGAAACAAAAAAAGAAGAAAAAAAACCCTCAAATATTCTATGGATGAGAAACAAAAGATATGCAATGTTAAGAATCCAACCATGTTTTGATTCAGGGGAGGAGAATGATAAGAATTGTTCTAGAAATGTTAGAGAAGTTGTCAATAAAAAAGAATACCTAACTCAACTGCATCCACACGTATGTACAAGTCTTGACCCCCATCTGCAGAATCCCTTGTATCTACTAAATTCCCATACCATGCCATGCACCCTATCATATTTGCATTGCTGTTGATGGCGTATGCCGAGCAAGAGCAGTCCCTTAAGCACTGCTGCTCACATGCTTTCCAACTCAAATTCCTATCTATCTGTGCCCACGATGTATCAGGAATCTTCACTTGTTCTAACTTGACGAAACCTTCCCCATTCCTGCATGCCTCGAGCTTCCTCACGCAGCCACTCGATGCATTTCTCATGTTCCATTCATCTGGCAACTTGGGTTGGAACCCTGGTAGGCATTTGCACTCAAACACACGGAGACTCTCCGAGTCACAGTAACCAAACGCTCCACATCTGCCATAAATATCACATCTGTCCCTGGGGCCAGACCATATATTATTCCATCTGAGGTCTTGTTCATACCAGTTAAATTGTTCAATCAATCCCAAATGGGCTGCCACGATTCTTGTGGAGATGGATGAGTTGAGGACACCCCAAGTAACGATGATCTCATCTTGATTGTTCACATAGCTGGCATTGAAGATATTAGTATCTAGCACTACCGGTATGTCACCCCACCACCACCTAATCCCATTCCAGTTACCAGTCCTCCAGTATCGAACATTACCATTGTAGAAGATAATCTGAGGAGCTCCATTTGGGTCAATCGCATAGGTGTAATTCCCCGTTCCCGGGTCATCCTCGGATTTCCAGGAGGTCAGGAACCAGCGGAATCCTGTTCGCTTGTCAAGGCCAAGTTTCATATGCGGAAGGATTGTATCCGTGGGGTAGTCAAAGCTTTGCCATGTTACCTTTTGGCTGTCTTGTTCAACCAAAACAAGGTTTCCAGTATCTAAGAGCTGAGCTTTGTATTTAGGATCAGGTGTGGATGATGATGAGATTGAAACATTGGATTTGGTGGACCAGACAGGAATGTTGGTTTGGTTTCTGGCGTAGAGGATGAGGTTTCCATGTGCACCAATTGATAGGACCCCTGAGGTGTCATTGATAGGATTGTCTCTGTTTGCAACCCATACAACTGTTTTTTCTACATCTTTCTTGTACCAAATCCCAACATGGTTGGTGGACTTTCCGGGTCTGAAGAACCCAAGCTCAAACACTTCACCATTAGAGACTAGAACTTCACCATCTCTGATGGCTCGATCAGTTGTTATGCTATCTATCGAATTGCAGCACCGGATAAGAAGAACAAATTGAACAAGTGCAGTAATGGTTAAACCTTTTGTACACTTCATGAACATATTTTGTCATGAACATTTATCTCTTTAACTCGATAGTATTCAAAGAACTTTTTCTTTCCCAAAAAAAATATGTGAGCCCCAGAGAAGAAGTGCAATCTATTAAAGAAACTTCAACACCTATGACCTGGTTAGAATCAGCCTGGCTCTAAGATCTTTCAACACCTCATCGATTTGCCCATTCTTTCGGGGATTGACTGGTAGGAAGTCCACTATGGCAGCTTTACGCTCTTTCTTTAATGTTTGTGTTATATGAGTTGGGACATTTGTTTACTTTTCTAGCTCAATATTGTACACCTGAAGATATATTGAAGCTAAGTTCCGCTGCTGCTTTAGCTTATGTTTTTAAATGTATATAGATTTGACTGCAATGACACTTATTATATTTTTTATACTAAGGCAGGGGGAAAACGGGGGAACTGGGATGCTACAAAATATCACAGCCAAGACTTTTATATAAAAATCAACTTTGTACATGTCTGCATGGAATCATGCATGACTCAACCAAACGACCTAACTTTGAAACATTTAGGTGATTTTAAATCTATTTTCATAGAAATTACTGATTTATATACATATATATTAATCTGCCATTTCTGGAAAACTTTTCATGGTGAGCATGGTTGGTTTTAATAAATCTTTGGTGATGCATGGTCAATTTGGAGTGTGGTGTTTTCTGGAAATACAGGAAGATCTGTTTGGAAATACAATGAGCCTCCCTCATATCTTTCATGTACAAAGAATTCTCGATTTGAATACAAAAGTTTAAAAGTAATAGAAAAGTCTACAAATTTAACGAGCTTCAATAACTGTGACTGTTACATCATTTACAGAAGAAGCTCCTCTAGATGTTGAAGAATCCTGGCCACTATTTTTGAAACTAAATGCTGCCTTTTTAGGAGGTGGAAGACTAGTTTCATTCCCCAGCATAAATACAACATCTAACATGGTTGGCCTATCTGTTGCATATTCTTGCACACACAAGAGCCCAATTTGAATGCATCTCATAACTTCATGAGTAGAATATGACCTACTCAACAACGGATCAACCGTGTCCAAGGCTTTTCCTTCAATCCACAAGTCCCAGATCTGAAAACATTTTGAGCATAATCTTTAGGTTAACTATTCAAAAAGTAAATTCACCATCTGAAAAAAAGAAAGAAAGGATATCTGTTTACTTACTTGTCCAACCAAATTCAGAGAGGAATTTTCAAAATGGAAATTGTTTTTCCTGCCACTAATGATCTCTAGTGCTAAGACTCCAAAGCTAAAGACATCAGATTTTGTGGAATATAGCCCATCCATAGCATACTCTGGTGACATGTAACCACTGCAATGACACAATATCAGTACCTAAAAAGATATGGATACCATCGGAGTTTCATTTTGTAAATCGGTTGTGCATGTTTTGGATTGAGAGCAGAGAGTGAGAGTTTTACTATGTGCCAACAACTCTGTTTGTGTTTGCTTCAATCTGGTCATCTCTGAACATTCTTGCCATGCCGAAATCTGATATTTTTGGGTTCATTGAGGCATCCAGTAAAACATTGCTTGCTTTCAAATCCCTATGGATAATTTTTAGTCTTGAATCTTGATGAAGATATAGGACGCCCCGAGCAATTCCGATGATAATTTGAAACCGCTTTCTCCAATCCAACAATGACCTTCTGCTTTTATCTAAACCAGTACATAAAAGCTTGTATCAGATACAAGTTTAGGATTGCATAATTTTAGAGTTAGCTGGGTGTAGAGATGACATACCAAAAATGCACAAGTCCAGGCTGCGGTTTGGCATGTACTCGTAGATTAGCATCCTCTCTTCTTTATCTATGCAGCAACCCAAAAGCCTCACAAGATTTCTATGCTGGAGTTTTGCTATAAGCATTACTTCATTCTTGAATTCTTCGACGCCTTGTCCTGAATTTCTTGATAATCTTTTGACAGCTATTTCCTGTCCATCAGCTAGGCATCCCTAAAATAGTAAAACAGATTCAAAAATTATAATCACAACTTCAGATCAATGTAATGTTTGCATTAATGTGTTGGTACATTTGCAGCAAAGTAAACTGATAACACATGCATATTTCACATTTTTTACGAGTCATAAGGTACTGAGATACTCAAAATGTTCTAAAGAAAATACCTTATACACCATGCCAAAGCCACCATGTCCAAGCAAGTTAGCAGAAGAGAAGTTGTCCGTGGCTGCAACTATGGTGCTTAGATCAAAGAAAGGTAAATCCGTTTTTCCTCTGTGTTCATCAACCTCATTTTTCTTCAGTAGAACTTCATGGCTTCTTGAACCAGCAATGGCATCATTCAGCAATTCGGGTTGTCCTCCTCTCCCTGTTTCAATTCCATTACGATTTCAGGAATAATGATTTCAAATTTTAACTATCCAAAATTTGCTTTTTGTTACTTTATTAGCAACCAAACAGAATTCTAGATATCTAAGATCCTTATGAATTTACAAGATGAATAAATGGGAAGTTTTTGCATACCCTTCCTGCTCCTTTTCCTAAACCAACATAAAGCAGCGACGATAAGCAATGATGTAACAGCAATAGACACTCCTAATATAATAGCCAGTCTCCTATCTTTGGCAGAGAACCCTCCTCCTGACTTCTTTGTATACTGAGCTGAAAAAAAAAGAACAAAAAGAAAAAGCTTTTCATTAATGCCATGAGTGATATATTAGATTTAACAATAACCAAGAAACTAAAATTCCAACTTCCATGAAAATTCAGAGAGCAAAAATGAAAAGCTTGCCCCCCTAACACTTAAGTTGAAAACTCAGGTACCTAACACAAGCGCATCAGCACGAATGTACAAATCTTGCCCCCCTTCTGTGAACTGCTTAGTATCCATTAAATCTCCAAACCATGCCATGCATCCACTCCCTCCATTCCTCACATCTGCACTGGCATAAGCCAAGCAAGAGCAGTTTCTCAAGCACTCTTCCCCACATGCTTCCAAACTCAAACTCCTGTTCAATTTTATTGTGGAAGTATCTGGAACCTTAACATTTTCCATCTTCACAAACCCTTCACCATTCCTACACATGGATGGTGACCCCTGAGGCCTCTTGCACCCACCCGTCCCATCTCTCAAATCCCAATCCTGTGGCGAGTTGGGTTCATAACCAGGGTAGCATGTGCAGTTGAACCCACTGTTAGTGTAAGGATTGCAATCACCAAATTGACCACACTTGCCATAGCTGTCACAAGCATCCAATGGTGCTGACCAAAGGGTAACCCACTGGTGCTGCTGCCCCTGCCATGAAAGCTGGTTGAGTGATCCTGTCCCATCTATGGTTATCACTGAGTAAATTGAAGGGTCAAGAACAGACCATTGAACAGCAATTTCATCTTGGTTGTTCACAAAATTGATCTTAAACACATTGTTGCCGCTCTCAGCCGGTATGCCACCCCATTGAATCCCATTCCATTGACCTGACCTCCACCACTTAGCTTGATTCTTGTACAAGATCAACTGTGGTGAGCCATTTGTGTCCATTCGTAATGAACAATTCCCAGTTCCAGGATCATTGTTCGAGTTCCAAGATGTGAGGAACCGGTTGATACCGCTTTTTTTGTCCAATCCAAGTTTCATACTTGAGAGAAGAGCATGTGTAGGATGATCAGAGCTTTGCCATAAGACATTCTGGTTGTCTTGTTGAACCAAAACAAAATTTCCTGAATCCAGGAGCTGTGCTACAATATTGTTGTTACCTGATGATGGGACGGAAACATTTGTTGACCACAGAGGAAGGCCTTGACTGCTATTACCATGAGCTAGTATGAGATTTCCATCAGTGTTGATTGAGAGAACTCCAGAGGTATCATTGAGAGGGTTGTCTCTGTTAGCTACCCACAAAACCTTGTCCTCTGAGAAGTTGTACCAAATTCCGACATAGCGGTTGCTAGATGTGCCAGGACTGAAGAAACCAAGCACAAAGGTCTCATTCTTAGACACCAGGAAATCACCATCTCTGATAGATTGATCAAAACTGATGGTGTCCAAAGAAGAGCAGAGCTGCAGAAGAAGGAGCTGAAGCACTAATGCTATTAGAAGACCTTTTACAAATTGCATTATTTCTGAACAATTGCAGAACAAGGTTGACAAAGCACTGATTGCTAGCTAATGTAATGTTGAGCAAGTTATCTTGTTATTATTATTATTTTGTTTCATTTTTCGTACTTTATTTAAGAAGAGAAATTTGGCCCACCACAAAGGACTTCATGGAAGAAAACTTTAATACAGACAATCCATTTAGAATGCAACGCCTTTGGACTTTGAACAGTTGGTGGGTGGGATATAGCGTCGCCAAGTCAAAAACATATGTTTTAACTTATATTATTAGAGCATCTGAAATTATTATGATCAATGCAATTTTATTACACGAAATTGAACTAAAACAGTAAAATCTCATTTGCAATGGAGTGAGAACTCTCAATTGAATTGCAATAAGTTAACTATGAGACCCACATGTCAATAAACTAAAGCTATTGAACTGTATCATTACAAGTGAAACTGCAGTTCAATTCAATAGATGCCAAAATAATTTAATTTATTAAACTATTATATTCAACTATTCAACACAACACGAGGATTGACCATTTCAATTCAAGAAAGCCAAAATTTTGAGGAAATTGACACACCAACGGTTGCCATGGCCCCGTCACTCACACATGAGGGCTAACGTTTTTACAGCCTTAAATCCACTTTGGAATTTTCCAAAAAGCAATAGATGTTTCAACTACTCGCTCATTAATATGTATTATCTCAGTCATGGTGGGCGTGCGTCTTATAAAATAAGATGAGGACAACAAAGTCTAGATGCAAAGTCAGAGGGTGTGTTCTCCCTTTCACACTTCCTTCCAGGTTCCAAAAATGAACTATGTGGAGCAGATGACTCTATCATTCAAATTAAATTTAATTTAATTTTATCATCAGTTTACAAGAAGATAGCAGCAGCCAGGGCTCATTTGCTGTGTGGTTTGTGGTTATAATTTGCTTAAATGGTGGCTGAATCAAAGGATAGTCAACCCCCAGAGTTCGTGTCTGGAGACAAGTGCTGTGTTGTGTCGTGTTGTCTGTGGGCAGCTGTTAACTAAAAGAAACTTTTTCCAAATGGATTCCAGTTTCTGGGAAAGTCAAGGTTTAGAGTGAGTGGATGTGCATTTTGATGTATACTAGTATGAACCTTTCTAATAACTAACCTCTCCTCACGCGCGGAACAGTTTTAGGAACAGTGAAGGTTTAGAGTGAGTTGATGTGCATTTTGATGTATACTAATATGAACCTTTCTAATAACTAACATCTCCTCATGCGCTTCCGCGCTTGTCATAGGTTATTTATTTTATTTATATTTATAATTTTTTTTAAATTTAAATTTATTTTAGAATTAAAAAAGATAATGGGTAGTTGTGTTCCATAAAAATATGATTAATTATCTAATTTTTCTTTAATTTTAAATTTTTTAATATGAAAAAGTGTGAATTTATCATATTATCCTCATTTAATTAATAATTTCAATTCTTAAAGTTTGCATTGACCAATGACATTTTCTGATATTTTGAATGTTTTATTATTCTTTGTTTTTTGCTTTATATATAGATAAAATAGGGCATTAATATACTTTATACGTGCTCTGTATGTATGGTTGTGACTTGTGATTTGTCACATGACTCACATCTATAATAGGAACCTTTTTCCGTTTTATTTTTATTAATTGGAAACGGAGCATTTGAATTTGGAGCATCTTCTAACATTTAAAAGTGAAGTACAACTAGACTAAGAACCAAATAGGAGCTTTACAATAAAAATCTCATGTATCACTTCTTATACAATAAAAATCCATGTATCTAGATGCTAATTAATTTTTTATAAAAATAATCTTATAGTTCTAAAGACTATTGCAATATTAGGAAATGTAATTGAAAAAATAGTCAATTTTTTGGCGAAGTGGAAGCCTGAGGCCCAAGCAACCTTTAAGCACACACAAATCTGGGCCGAGTAACACCCACACCATCACCAACACCAACACCAACATGAACATGGTCCTCAAACAGGGCTCAGCCAATTTGGGTTTGGGTAAGGTCGTATCGGGCAACACATTCCTAAATTTGGCCCATGTCTACTTTGCGGGAACATTCCAAGTGTTTTCGGTTTCAATTTTTTTGTATTTTTTAATTTTATGCAAGCAATAACAACTTCATTATAATAAGTCAGAAGTCCCGAGCAGTAGCCGCCGCACTAAAATCTTGGCATAAAAAAACCCGAAAGAAAGAGTATCTATCAGTGAATTTCAAGTTAAGCAATGATCACTTCTCATTACGATTAATAAATAGACAGTCAATAATCATTTTATATAGATAGTTGGAAAGGCGGTAACTGACCAATACCAATAGTCAACTACCAATAATCGGCTATAGAAATGTGTTCCTGTAACCTGTTGTACAGCTGACCATTCAGACAAGTAGCAGCCATTTCAATACAAAAAAGAAACATCAATGAAACACCACCAGATTCATCGTACATGCAAAATCCCAAATTCCCAGAAAAACAAAAATGTTTCTCAAAGCTTTGCTTGTGTTCTTCCTCCTCATCTTTCCCTTTTCCTCATCCATTGACACCATAGCACTGAACCAACTTGTGAAAGATGGTGACTTTATAGTGTCCAAAGAAAACAACTTTGAATTAGGCTTCTTCAGCCCCGGCAACTCGAGCTCTCGCTATGTTGGGATTTGGTATGCAAATAAGTCTGAAAAGGCAGTGGTTTGGGTTGCAAACAGAAACAACCCCATCAATGATACCTCTGGTGTTCTCACAATCAATAGGTACGGAAAATTGGTTCTTTATGCTCACAATATTGACAACGTTTCTATTTGGTCAACAAATGTGTCGGTCGAAACCACAAGCACTTGTGTAGCTCAGCTTTTAGACACAGGAAATTTAGTGCTTTTCCCGGATAGTATTAGTAAAAGTGAAAGCTTTATATGGCAGAGTTTTGATTACCCTACAGATACTCTACTTTCCGGAATGAAAGTTGGGTTGAATTGGAAAACTGGGATGGAATGGATCTTAACATCTTGGAAGTCCCGAAATGACCCTGGAACGGGGAACTATAGCTTGAGGCTCAATTCCAATCAGACTGCTACGCCTGAATATTTTTTGTACAAGGGTTCGACCAAATATTGGAGAATGGATCCAGGGCCAAGGCCCTTTTTTGTGACGGATAATGAAGAAATGTACTATTCCCCATTTTTGTCTGATAACACCTCAGTAATGATATCGGTGGTGACGGATTATGGGGTTTATCAACAACTGCTATGGAGTGAGGCTACTAATAAATGGGAGGAGCTCTGGGCTGCACCAAAATACCGGTGTGACCCATATGGCCGCTGTGGTGCCAACAGCAAATGTAGCCCTGACAATATTAATAGGTTTGAGTGTGAGTGCCTACCAGGGTATGAACCAAAATCTCAAAATGCTTGGAATGGGAGAGATGGGTCAGATGGGTGTGTGAGTAAGCGAATGGGGGTGTCAAAGTGTGGGAATGGGGAAGGGTTTGTGAAGGTGGCACGGGTGAAAGAGCCAGACACATTGGACGCAGCACGATTGTTAGCAAGTATCAGTGCCAATGAGTGTGAGCAGGTGTGCTTACGCAATTGTTCCTGCACGGCATATATACACACAGAATGGGACGGTCGCAATGATTGCTTGGTATGGTACGGTGAGTTGCTGGACATTTTAGTCCGCTCAGAGCTAGGACAAGATCTATATGTTCGGGTGGACAAAATGGAATTAGGTACTACTTGGCTTGCCAAGGAAAATTTCAGTTATAAATTTTCAGAATCTGTGAAACTTACTAGACTGGTTTTGGTGTCCATATGAGTTCTCTTTTCCATGGTTCTAATCCTTTGTCCCACTCTTATGTGTAGCTGATAATACCAGAAAATCGAAAGGTTTTCTCAAAAGGAGGGGTTTGCTGGCTATTGCAATAGTGGCTGTGCTTCTCACATTCGTACTAATCATTGTGTTTGTGTACTGGTGGCTGAAGAGAAAGAGGACGATAAAAGGTATGAGAAGTACTTATCTGTGTTGAATTGTTTAACTGTTTCATCTAAATAAAACAGCAATGTGCTCATGGAAGTATGGAAGTACGGAATTGGTTGTTAAAAGTTCCATTTTCTAGTCATTTTGTCAATGCAAATGGGACACTGAGGAGAAAAGGAACACTAATTTTCTTTTTGTGATTGCGAAGACTTTGTGGAGGCGGATGAACTTGAGGAAACTAGGAGACACCCAGAGCTGCAATTTTTCCATCTGAGCACAATAATAGTAGCCACAGACAACTTCTCTCCTGTCAATAAACTTGGCCAAGGTGGTTTTGGCACTGTTTATAAGGTAAGGTCCCATTTCAAAGTCCTAACATTTCATAATCGAATGATTTCTTCTGAGCAGTAGAAAATACTCTTCTTCTCAAAGCTTTATAATGGTGTTGAACCATAACTTCAGGGTCAGTTAGCAAATGATCAGAAGATTGCTGTAAAAAGATTGTCCAAAACTTCAGGACAAGGAATTGAAGAATTCAAAAATGAAGTTGCTCTGATAGCTAGACTTCAACACAGAAATCTTGTGAAACTTTTAGGCTGTTGTATAAAGGGAGAAGAAAGGATGTTAGTTCTGGAACACTTGCCAAACAAAAGCTTGGACTCCATTCTTTTTGGTATGTCTAGAGGAAAGATTCATTTGTACATGCCATTTCTAAAATGATGAAGAATATTCTTGAAGCTTCCTACTGAACTTTATAACATTTATTTACTCGAAAGCCAAATATCTTGATACAGATCACGCTAAAAGATCCTTGTTGGATTGGAAAAAGCGGTTTGAAATTATCAATGGGGTTGCTCGTGGGATTCTGTATCTCCACCAGGACTCAAGACTTAGGATAATCCATAGGGATCTAAAAACCAGCAATGTTCTTCTAGATGCTGAGATGAACCCAAAAGTTTCAGATTTTGGCATGGCAAGAATATTCCATGGGGACAAACTGCAGGATAAGACCAATAGAGTTGTTGGAACATAGTAAGAATCATATTTGCACTCACAAATTCTTGGAATAAAT